GGATGAGAAGAAGGAGAAGGAGAAGGATGAGAAGAAGGAGAAGGAGAAGGAGAAGGATGAGAAGAAGAGAGAAGGAGAAGGATGAGAAGATGGAGAAGGAGAAGGATGAGAAGAAGGAGAAGGAGAAGGATGAGAAGAAGGAGAAGGAGAAGGATGAGAAGAAGGAGAAGGATGAGAAGAGGAGAAGGAGAAGGATGAGAAGAAGGAGAAGGATGAGAAGAAGGAGAGAAGGATGAGAAGAAGGATGAGAAGAAGGATGAGAAGAAGGAGGAAGGATGAGAAGAAGGATGAGAAAGAGAAGAAGGAGAAGGATGAGAAGAAAAAGAAGGAGAAGAATGAGAAGGAAGGAGAAGGATGAGAAGAAGGAGAAGAAGAAGGATGAGAAGAAGGAGAAGGAGATGAGAAAGAAGGAGAAGATGAGAAGAAGGTTGATGAAGATGAAGAGAAGGAGAAGGATGAGAAGAAGGAGAAGGATGAGAAGAAGGAGAAGGAGAAGGATGAGAAGAAGGAGAAGGAGAAGGATGAGAAGATGGAGAAGGAGAAGGATGAGAAAGGAGAGAAGGAGAAGGAATGAGAAGAAGGAGAAGGAGAAGGATGAGAAGAAGGAGAAGGAGAAGGATGAGAAGAAGGAGAAGGATGAGAAGAAGGAGAAGGAGAAGGATGAGAGGAGAAGGAGAAGGGATGAAGAAGAAGGAGGAAGAAGATGAAGATGAGAGAAGGAATGAGAAGAAGGAGAAGGATGAGAAGAAGGATGAGAAGAAGGAGAAGGATGAGAAGAAGGAGAAGGAGAAGGATGAGAAGAAGGAGAAGGATGAGAAGAAGGAGAAGGATGAGAAGTAAAATTGTCACAAAATCGTTTTTTAAAAGTACAGATAGGAATAGCTACATTCCAACCAGTAGCTGTCATCACCCCTAACTGGTTGACTAACATTCCGAAAGGTCAGTTCATGCGTATCCGTTGCACCTGTACAGATATGGATACTTACTTTGATCAGGCTATGATACTAAAGAAAAGGACATTTCCTACAGCGGTTGAAAAGGGTTACAAGTAGAGATGAGCGAAGTATTCAAAAATTCGATTCGGCTGATTTGGCGAATTTCAGGAAGAAAATTTGATTCGATGCGAATTTATTCATCCTACTTCTTCTTCTTCACCGCTGTTGGAGGGAATGTCCCAGATGTATGTGCAGAGTTCCTCTATTCTGCAGATACACTTAGAGGAGCTCTGCAGATACACTTAGAGGAGCTCTGCACATACACTTTTTGCCGGCTTGGAATTATTCTTATTTTCATCCTACTTCTTCTTCTTCTTCTTCTTCATCCTCATCCTCGTCCTCTTCTTCTTCTTCTGAGGATGAGGATGAAGAAGAAGAAGAAGAAGTAGGATGAAAATAAGATTAATTCCAAGCCGGCAAAAAGTGTATCTGCAAGCTCCTCTCTCTTCTTCTTCATCCTCATCCTCATCCTCTTCTTCTTCTTCTGAGGATGAGGATGATGAAGAAGTAGAATGAAGAAGAAGTAGGATGAAAATAAGAATTCCAAACCGGCAAAAAGTGTATGTGCAGAGTTCTCCTATTTCTGACAGTTCTCTGACAGCTTCTTCACATGTACAGCGGTTGAAAACATCTGTATCCTAAATGGAAACTAATAGATACAATGTTTTCAACCGCTTTACATGTGTTCCTTCTGTCAGAGAACTGTCAGAAATAGCGGAGCTCACTGCAGGGACACTTTTGCCGGCTGATCGGGAAATATTCGATTCGCGCACCCGAAGTAGGCAAAATTTCGGATTCGACGCGAATCGAATATTTCCTGAAATTCGTATCGAATTCCGGTTCGCCTGGTTCGATTCGCTCATCTCTAGTTACAAGGAGGACATTCTGGACAACACTATACAGATGATTGCTCAATGTGACAGAAATAACATTCCTTTATATCGAACTTTTTGCTTGTTGTTTTTAGCGCTGCACTTTATTTATTTATTTATTTATACTTGAGGCGGTTGTGATCTCCTTTTAGTGCTATTAGCTGCTTACTTTACTGTTATACAGGAGCGCTCACTATTTTTTATATTTTAGGTATAATGTATTATTAGCTCCACTCTTCTTCTCACTCTGCTGCAGATGATTTCGTCTGCTCCTTATCCCACAAACAGTTGTGTTTAAAATAATAGCAGTGTGTTGAAAAAAGTGAATAAAGCTCAAAATCCTTCTGATAGCTTTTATTTCCATACACACAAATGCATTGGGAACACTACACATTATATTCCAAATCAAAACATGAAGAAAAATATATCAAATTTGTGTTGTTCTTCAAAAACAATTGAAGAAAAGTGAATATTAGACTGTTCAAAAAAATAGCAGAGTTTGTATTCTTCTTTACAAATGCAAACATTCACTATATAAACTGAAAAATGTTTGAAGGTTTTGCTTTCCTTTGAATCACTTAATGAATATTGTTGTTGTATAAGCACTGTTTCTGAGGACTTTGCGGGGGCTTCTTGCAGATAGCTTGGCTTCACATAGGCGTCGTCTAATTGTAACAGTCCTCACAGGGAACTTTAAACCTTCTTTCATCTTCCTGGAGCTGATTGTTGGCTGAGTCCTTGCCATTTTGGCTATTCTTCTATCCATTCGAATGGTAGTTTTTCGCTTTCTTCCACGTCTTTCAGGTTTTGGTTGCCATTTTAAAGCATTTGCGATTATTTTAGCTGAGCAGCCTATCATTTTCTGCACTTCTTTATATGTTTTCCCCTCTCCAATCAACTTTTTAATCAAGGTACGCTGTTCTTCTGAACAATGTCTGGAACGACCCATTTTCCTCAGAAATTTCCTCAGAATAATTGCCGCCTGTTTTTCAAAGAATGAATGACCTCACTAATAAAAGTCCACACTGCTATTATTTTGAACATGCCCCTTTCAATTAGTGATTCAATTACAAAGAATCAGCAGCATGCATGTCATGACTGTTGGATTTCTATTACTCTACTACACCTGCTAGTAAATTATTTGCCATGTAGAAATATAATTTCTACCAAAAACAGTGATTGATCAGGTTAGTGATGTCTGACTGCTATTATTTTGAACACAACTGTATGTGGAATAAAGAGGAAACGAAATCATCTGCAGCAGAGTGAGGAGGAGAGTGAAGCTAACAATACATTATACCGTCCCGGGACATCAATGGACATTGATTACAAACCTAATCCCTTACAAACCTACCACAAGGTGCAAATGTCATACTATCTTATAATACTTTAGGGCAACTTGTAAAATATGTTTGTAGACTGTGGGAAGAGGAAACTAAAATGACATAACCAAAGATAACATGTTACATAATGCAGTAAAACTGCAGAATATAGCGTTTAAATAGCTCATAACAGTATGGGAAAATTTCTTATAAGCAAGAGGTGGAGACAACCTTGTACCCTGAAGATGGAAACATTTTTTTGTAACAGCAATGATGTTATTACCCAGGTGGGGACATTGCATGTTCTCAGGACTATTTCCATCATAAAGGTACACTCCAATGAAGACCAAAGCCTTAAAATGTGTACAGTGAACATGGGTGAAGTGCCTACCTGCAGGCAGATATGTACTGTATAAGTTAACTTCCTTCCGTCTGTGAACACCATCTCAAACCTCTGAATATGCAAGTTGGGTGTTCCTATTCCATCCAATGTAGTCACTGTGGACAGGATAGTTTAGACTGCATCACACAGATAAAGTCATTGCTCATCACACTCTACTCTCTGCCCAGCTTCCAGATACTCTCAGCCCAAATGTTTGAATTTCTGTTTGTGTCATCCTGTCCTAGTGACAGCCAATTCCCCCTTTTTCTTCTCACAGGTGCAGAAAGTGAGAAAAAGTCTATGCCTAATACAGCTAACAGATGTAAGCTCTTCCTTGCTGTATCCACAATCAAAAAGAAATCATTTTGTTGGAGTTAGGCTTTAGCTACTCTACTCTTCCACCCACTCCCCTATCCCTGCCCAATACTTTTTCCCCAGCTCCGGGCCCCAGCAGGTTTCTGATGCCTGGAAGGATCTGTGTGCAGGCAGTGCTACTGATGGGCTGACTATACCTCAGCAGCCAATTTGTAGCACTTGCTGCACACAGATCCCACACCCAGACCATAGCTCATTTCCAACAAAAGAGACTGGATGGAGCCCAGAGTTGTAGAAAGGTAAGTATTCCTACAGGGAGGGTCTAATTTATTGTTGGAAAATAGGAAAGAGTGAATCTGACTGGGTTCAGCTTGTGTACAATTTTTTTACAAACTTTACTCAAACTTCAAAATCTGTTGCACACCCCACTGAGGTCTTTGGAGATGAATCTTGTTATTTAGTTTTCCCAATTGTAGCCCGACTGCAGGACTTCTCCAGGACTTCCCCCATCCTCTGGAACTCACTACCCCAATCCATCAGACTGTCACCTACCCTCCTCACCTTTAGGCGCACCCTGAAAACCCATCTCTTCAGGGAAACCTACCCCACCCTCACTTAACAGCCGATCTCCTCCACTCCTCTTACCACTCCATCCCCCACAGACACTTCCTCATGTACCACCATCCCCTCCCTCCTAGATTGTAAGCTCGAAAGAGCAGGGCCCTCGAACCCCTCATGTATTATTTTGTTACTGTACTGTCTCATGTACTGTCCCCCACTATAATGTACAGCGCTGAGCAAACCTTTTGGCGTTATATAAATACTGTATAATAATAATAATAATAAGCAAGCTTTTGTCAAAGGATAGGCATAGGAAGTCAGGCACTGTCAAGGGGGACATGTACCAATAACAAAATAAAAAATTATTAAAAAGAATAACATTTACAAAGTTATCTCTCTGTACACAGAATTAGCAGCTCTCTGACACAGCTTCAACTCACATTGATGATATGGCTTCTGTGAGCCCTACCTTACTTTTTGAACTGAACCTCCAAAGTCATTTCTGAGAATTAACCTCCTTGGCGGTATTCCCAAGTGTAGCTCGGGGTAGAGTTTCAGTACTAAAAGCGGTAACCCCGAGCTACACTCGGGCTTACCATGCGGCGTTGCTCAGGGATTCCCTGCAGCGCTTACCTTGTCCTTCGTTCCTGTGATGTCCCTCCTGCAGTGTCCCCGGCCATCTCCACCGGCCGATGCCAGCATCCGGCTTCCGTGTTCCGGTCCCTGTGACTTCGGGACATACGGGGGCCGGAAACCGGCGGCAAATTTAAAAATTTTAAAAACTGTCTTTTTTTGTAAACAAATATTACATAGCAAAACATTGCTGTTTCAAAGCATTTCACATTTTGTCCCTAGTGCTTTGGCCTGTGCCCTGCCTGCCTGCCTTTTGACTGTTCTTTCTGCCTGGGAACTTAGAAAAGTCCATGGCGTCCAAAAAGTGTCCTTTTAGGTCAACAGCGGTTTTAGACCGGCTAGAGAACAGCGATAGTAAATCAGAACCACTTGCAGAATTGAGTGATAATGATTCGTGGGGAAATTCGTCATCAGACACTGAAAACAATTTTGCGACTTTGCTCAGCGATGTGCGAACTTGGCGCTATATTTCAAATTTCACTGTTTTTGGTTTGATTATATTATTGAATTAAATGTATTATTATATTATTTTTTACGATTATTTATTAAATTATAATTTATGATTTCGTGTTTCAAGTTTTATCACATCCGGAATGTTTACTAGACTCTTGTTTGGACAGATTTCAGTGAGTTATTCATAAAAATTACATAAAGGCCTACAATAAAAAAACTACATATTTCCATCCAAAATAATTGTACCACTTTCAGCACCAAAAATCTGAAATAATCATACCGCCAGGGAGGTTAATTAAAACCCATGGTAGTGGCAAACCTAAACCTAGTGCAAAAAATCACCTCTGTGAGGTCCATTCCCAGTGCAGTAACCCACAGCAATGAGAATTTACTCAGATCAGGACAAGAGGAATTATTGCTGTTGTTTAAATTGGTGATCCCCAATCATTGTAATTTCCAAGGAAAGAACCTAGTTTCTGCATTGCATTTGAATTACATAGGATTTTATTATGTAGTGCTACTGTTGTGGAAGCTGCATGATATATGGATCCTCCTACCTTTCCCCCAGTGATGACCCTCCCTGAATTGATCCAGAACTCACCGACACATCGGTAGAAAAATATGCTTTTACAAAGTAAGAATGAAATCCTTGTAAAGTAATATTGGTTAAGACAGAATAGCAATGGCAAGGAAATACTCCTAAACAATTACAGCAGCAGGGGTATCACCGGTTGTAAGGGGCAACATGCTGACCTATCTGTAATACTGTGGCCTGTGGGTCTTTGTAAAAGTCTTTCGGCACGGGGGACCTGGTTTTCAGCATTTATCTTCCATCCAAAGAACAAACATTGCTAAAAGATAAGTTTACCTTTTGTAAAATCTTACATGTTACACCCATACTCAGGGTGTCACATGTTACAGATGCAGCTGCCCCCCTACCCCCTGATCCCCCATTTTGATAGCAAGCAAGGGATCTGAAAGACACAGCCATGCAGGGGTCTGCCCACACCCCTTCCCTCTTGGCTGCGTGATCCATTAACAGAGTTCTGTGAATGTGAAAAGTACAGACAGCCTTTCCAGCTGTCAGCTAGTAGTTCTCAATGAACTACCATGGCACTGTTGAGCGCTCTAGGGAGTTCACTGGGGCTTACACAGACTGTCTGCCAGAGCCCTGCATAGCACCAGCGATCTGCTGATCACCAGTGCAATGCTTTGCAGGCTCATACAAAAAAAAAAAAAAAAAGCCTATTACCTGCAAAAGATGTGCGTTTATTTATTTTTTTTTACAAAAGTGAACTTCTTCTTTAAGCCTTCTGGCCTTTAGTCTGGCCCAACAGATTGTTACTCAGTACCTCTCCCAGTAGCTTTATCCATACACTTGGCAGACTCTTGCTGCTTTGGCTTTCATCTCTCTCCTAGGTGGAGCCCTTGTGACTCCTGGGCAAAGACCTCCTCTTTCTGCCAGGGTGGAGTCCAGAACCATTGACAGATCTCTACAAAAAGCCTAGCACACACCCGTACAATCAGTGTGAAAACCAGGACCCAGAACTGAATATTTCATCTTTAAGAAATCTCCAGACTCCAGGTCCCAAACCAAAGCTCTTCTTCTTTTTGTGCACCCATAGCAAGCCACAATGCGTGCACACTCCCAAGCTGTGTGTGTCTATGGAGCAGTGCTCCATAGACACACAGCGGGGCTTAGCCCCATCCCTGACTTCGTCCTCACTGCATTTGATTGACAGCAGTAGGAGCCAATGGCTCCTGCTGCTGCTGCCCGAGTCCTGTATGAAGGGAAGCAATAGGAGAAGAGATGGGGTCGTGCACAGTGCGGGATCACTTCTCCCCTTTCTTCCCCCTCACACAGCAAAAGGGGAGGACAGAAAGCCAAAAATTGGTTTGGCTTTAGAACCACTGTATTTGTATAGAGAATTTATATAAATAATATTGTAAAATCAGTTTAACTATAATTTGCCATTTCAGAACTAAGCAGATAGCCATGTTTTAGCTGAGCTTTAGTAGTCCAGGGTAGGTAAATGCTAATGAAGTTGCCAGCTAAAGTTTAGCAAACAGCAAGAGGGAGTAGGCATTAATGATGGGGCAAGATGTAGACAGAGAGTCAGCTGGCATGGCGGGTAGGAAGCAGATGCATGTAGCCTATAAAAATGAGAAGAACACAGCTGACAAAGGTGGGAAAAGGTACATACCCATTTCTGTGTGGTCTGATCAAGAGTGAGGACTTACTTTTGACCATCAGATAAAGCATGCATCAACCATGATACCATTCTACTAATTGACGTTTAGTATATATTTAAAAGCAGGGTTCTGATTGGATTGGTTTGGTTTGACTTAATCTGTACAAGTGTGTGGCTAGATTCACTTTATTTTTTCTTCTGTACATATTTCTATATTTAAAGAAGTGTATCTAAGTGCTTTGTGTTATGATCAGGGGCGTAGTGACCATTTGAGCACTTGGGCAGCGCCCAAGGGCCCGGGGTCAGTAGGGGGCCCCATGAGATGCCCCTGGTACCTTTCAAAGGCTTGGGTGTGGTGTGAATGTGGGTGAGGACACGGGCCCCATGATCCCTTATTGCCCGGGGGCCCTATGAGTTGTCAGTCTGCCCCTGGTTATGATGACCAATCTACCCCTCTCCCTTATGCTGCTGCCAATCCAACAACAGCTAGGAAGGCGATGGCTGCTTCATAATGACAGCTTTTCTCAGCTGTGAACACTTTCCTGAAACAAGCAGAGAAAGAGGAATGCAAAGGTTGACAAATTCACCCTCCCTTTGGTTTCCTTTTGCTGTTGCTTTTCTCAGTAAAGCTCTCACAGCCAAGAAAGCTGCAGCTATGAATCAGCCGTCACCTTTATAGCTATTGTCAGATCAGCCATGGCAGTGAGGGTAGGGGGTAGGGGACTGTTCGCACCTCATAACTAGGATTAGAAAGCACTTAGAAAGATGGGACAGAGTACTACATGTACCTTGACCCATAGGGGAAAGAACTAAAATGATAATGATGGATCTTCTTTAACTCCGTAATTAGCTTGTATATTTTGATTTCAGTAGTTATTGCTTACCCTCATTGGGTAAATGCATGTACTTCTTTGAAAAGCACTGTGGACCCAAAGGCACACATTTCACAAAGCATAACAGTTATATTGCTTGCCATCACCACTTACCAGAGATTTCCAGTCTTATCTTAGTTACAGTAAAATCTTCATGTCTGTGCAGTTACTTTTCTTTTCCTTCCAGTCTAATCTCATGTGAGGTCTGTGTTATGATCCGCCAGGTGGTGCCTCTGGCTGCCCACTTGACAGACCTACCCAAAGCATGGAGTCTAAGTCCCGGTCTGTGCTTTCACCAGGGCCCCTGATGGTGGGGATGGACTTGTAACAGACCAGGACCAGGTCACAACCTCTGAGCAGGCCCACCAGTGGCAGAGGGAACCTCCGGGGATGTATAGGTACCGGGAGAGCCAGATGTGAGGAGGCCCGCAGGACCTAGCAGGATGGATCACGAGCAGTGGTCCCGTGGGGTAAGCGAGGTACAGAATTGGCAGGCGGAGAGTAGTCAGGTCACACGCAGGGTCAGCAGGATAAGTCAGTCCGCAGATAGGTCAACCAAGCCGGGGGTCAGGAGAGGAGAAGGCAGAGTAGTCAGGACAATCCGGGTCAAACACAGGAGAAGGCAGCGTAGTCAGGGCAATCAGGGTCAATATCACAGGTTCAGGAATTCAGGATCACAGATAGACCTTGCGGCAATCTGTGACAGTGCAGGGCATCTTTAAATATTGCGCCCTGCACTGTCATTGGCCACCCAGGACGCGCCCCTGGCAGCCGCGGCCCACCGGGACCTGTCAGCCGCGGCCCACCGGGACCCGGTGCTTGTATCCTGGCGCGGACTGCCGCTAGTGCGCGTGCGCCGGAAAGGCGCCACGGCGGTCCCTGACATTGCCCCCCCCATGGGCACCCTCCGGGAGCCCCACTGATCTCTCCATCGCGGGTGGTTACGAAAGAACTCCCGGACGAGCCTGGGGGCGTGAACATTCTGAATGGGTTCCCATGAGTTCTCCTCAAGGCCATAACCCTTCCATTTTATCAGAAACTGCGTCTGGCCTCCCCTGTTTCGGCAACTGAGAATCGTTTCTACTTCATACTCTTCCTGTTCACCTATGGTGACTGCCTCAGGAGGTCTGGATTCACGATCCGGGAAGGGATCCGGTCTGGATGGTTTCAGGAGTGACACATGGAACACCGGGTGTATCTTGAAGGTTTCCGGAAGCTCGAGTTCGTAGGCCACCTCGTTGATTACCCGTTTAATTTGAAACGGGCCAATGTACTTCGGTCCTAGCTTCCTTGAAGGACATAGCATCTTCAAGTTGGCCGTAGCCAGCCAAACCTGATCCCCCGATTGGAGCAACAACTCTCCTCTTCTTTTCCTGTCAAACGCCTTTTTACTGTCCTCTTGGGCTTTTGCGATGGCCTCCTGAATCGTCTTGTTATTGACAGAAAAGAAATTCAAGACATCTTGAGATGCAGATTCCTGTCAGCCGCGGCCCACCGGGACCTGTCAGCCGCGGCCCACCGGGACCTGGTGCTTGTATCCCGGCGCGGACTGCCGCTAGTGCGCGTGCGCCGGGGAAGGCGCCGCGGTGGTCCCTGACATTCTGCTTTAACTCCACTTAAAGGGAGCCAAGAATTGTAAGCTCTGCAATAGCCTTCTGCCAAAGCTCCAGACAGCAAGGTGTACTAAAGACACACAGGACAAAACAGATTAATGTGTCAAATGTATTTTTTTTTTTTTTTTTTACTCACGCG